CCAAAGAGTCACGACAGTGCTGCAAATAGGTTTGTACAGATCAAAGCTTATAAAGCATCAAGCAAGGAAATCATGACTTCCATTAGGAATTCAGTTTGGTACATGCTGCCACATTTGAAGAAACTTGCTGATCGCTCCATCTATCTCCCCAAAGCACAAGACGACAACTGCTGTTCCACCTGATTTATTGCTGTTTTGATGATGAATAAAAGACTTCTTGCTTGTTACACTGTGTCACCTCATTCAATTTGTGTCCTAACATTTGTCGTCTCTTGGTATATTTCTAATCTAGGCATCTTGTTTTTTAGGGCCCTTCTTGTTGTTTTTTTCGTCCCTCTCGCATTAGATTTAGGGTCTCCAAAGGACGTCATCCATAAAATTTACTTGGTGTGGCCTTACAGATATCACTGTAGAATTGTAGTCCAGAAACTAGGCTAGAGCAGGTAAAATTGGGGCTGTGCATTGTTGCCGATACCTAGGTTTAATGTAAACTACAAAGAACAATTGAATAGCAAAGTTCTTTTTATCACAACCATTTATTTTTTCAAGCCGACGTTTCGATGACCATCTGTCATTGGAATGTATTGTGAACAGAAAAAACTAGCTTAAGTGCACTATGAACTATGTAACACATTTAGTGCACTATGCACCAAGTAACATCTAGTGTCAGTGCACAGTAAACCAGTCAGAATTGCCCTGATGAAGATGACAGAAGGTCATCGAAACGTCGGCTTGAAAAATAAATGGTTGTGATAAAAAGAACTTTGCAATTCAGTCGTTTACCAACCTGATGAAATTATTTACGGATACAAAGAACAATGTCCAAGAAAACAACCATTTTTTTGTGGTCTTGCAATAATGATATTTTGTACTTTCGTACACTGGAAAGCCAAAAAGTATAGAATACTGTAACTCACTTTTAAGTTTGTATTCATGATAGCAAAACTTCACAGTCTGAGAAAAATGGACATGGAACTTCACAGTGGCAGCAAGTGCAGGGAGGGGGCAAAAGACAAATGATTTGATAACTGTGATAGATGATACATTTTACAGCACAGAAGTGACTGTGAAAACCGTGAACATACAGTACTGTGAAAAAGAAATCAGGAATTCCAGTAGCATGGCCTGTAGAATATGCCAGCCTACGGCAATAATTGAGCTGAGGTTGAAAGGTGACGTCATGGCAGCACGATAGGTGGCGTGTTTTGGGGGCTCCGACAAAGAGTTGGTATTTTCAACGATTTTAGAGCCAGATTTGCCCGGTTGCGTACTAACTAAGTCCCACGGCGTCCGTGTTCTATTACTTGCGGTGGATACGCCAAAACTGGACAAAATGAGTGCAAGAAGGACGCGTGGGACGACGGCAAAGAGACATTCGCCTGGCGACACCAGGGAAGATGAAAATGGCGGCGACAAGGGAGATACCGGTTCTGACTTCGAGTCGTTTGTGCGAGAGCAGTTTGGAAAGATTCTGGACGGGCAGAGAGAGCTCCAGTCCGAGGTGAGATCTCTTGAAGACAACCTCGAGAAAAATATTCTGCTCCTAGAGAGCCGGCTTGAAAAACTCGAAAAGAAACAGGATGACACGGAATGCAAGCTGAGCGATTTCCAGCGAGACTCGGACGATCGGATTAAATCCATCACCCAGAAGCTCAACGCGACCGAAAAACTCGTGGAAGAACTACAACTTAAGAGTAATAAGTTGGAACGGTTTTCTAGACGGAACAATATAAGAATCATTGGACGGAAAGTAGTAAAAGGGGAAAACTGTCTAGCTACCGTCGGAAAGATTTTACACGACAAATTCGGACTTGATCAGGTTAGAGTGGAACGCGCGCACCCTGACGGGCCGAGGAGCACGAGTGACGGCGTGGGAACACCACAACACATCCTGTTTAAGTTGAACAGTTACCAGGACAAGGTCAGCATTATGAAGGTCGCGCGGGTCAAGCT